TGGGCAAGGTTAGGCAAGGTGAGACAAGGTGGGCAAAGTTGGGCAAGATGAGGCAAGGTGGGACAAATGTATCAGCGTGGGAAAAAGGCCTAAAGTTTGTACTCGAAAGGTTCCATTAAACAAGAAATTCACCTTTGTGTCTTTACTCATTGACCTCGTACCTTCCCATTCTATTTAGAAGGATTTATTTTCGTTTCTGAGCCCCTATTGCCCAAGGTCAGGTTTCAGATCGCGATGTTTTCTTTACTTCCCGGAGAAGGTATTTAAAGTCTCACCCTGTTAGTTTAAAGTTTGTCCCGTTAAAAGGGTACTTAACCCATTTGATCCGCAAACCCAGGGAATCTTTTTTTACTTTTGAGTTTTTATATAATCGTGTCCCGTTCGATTCCACCGGGTTCTAAATGCTCTGAAGCGAATGAACCGTCGATGTTAACCGTCGGCGTAGATAGGGGTCTATATCAAGGTCTGCATATGGTCTATGTCAAGGTCTATCCTGGATGTCACGCGCCTGCAGATAACGCGATAGCAAGCAGGTTCTCACTTTGATGCGAAACAAATTTCACACGTTCAGGAATTACGAAGATAAAACGGTTCTGTGCAAAATTTCCGAGCGTTTCACAGTCCGGCTGGATTTCCGTTTAAATGAGGGAAAAGGGGCCGAGAAAGGTCATTCAAGGTCAAAGAGAAGAGGTGCACTTCCTTATATCAGCATTACTTGATGACGCATCGAATTACACTCGAATTTCACTCGAATTTCACACGTCGCATGTTGGATTGCCACCATGGAGCTTAAGACTCAATGGAGCGCCTCTGGCGGTTTTCCGCTTCTCGGGTTGACTCCGTTTGCAGACACGTTCCTTTTTCGGAGGTTTTTAAATCGGGATAGGTTCGTCTGCCTTTCTTCGTTTAAAAAGGGGTCAAATGCGATATTCGGCCTTCTCACTCTATATTTAGTTGATGGGACGAGACACTGCGACAGCGAAAGGTTATGCCAACTTCTATGGACATGGGAGTATGCCACAAACCAAGCATGACAGTCGTCCGAAGAAAGTGTGAGCTCAGCTCAGAATCTCAAGTTTGTTCGCTCAAATTAGAAGAGTTGACATTCGTACCCAGAGATCAACCGGGTGACGCAATTTTTTTTTTAAAATTCATTCTGTACATTTATGAGGGCTTGAATTAGGTGCTCGACGGACTTTCAAGCTTTAGATGAATAAAGCCAGCCACAAACTCATGCACCCAAATCCTTGGGAAAATCCGATTTTGTTCATTCACGGAAACCCTTCAAGGATGGACGCTGCTCACTATCGCAACTGCCATCCTTTTTCGCAACGTCCGCTCCTTCTGGTGGATCATTGCTGGAAGGTGGATAGCTCGACGTCGTTTCGCTACCGGCTCAGTCGTTCGACGAGCCTTTGGCTTTGGTTGTTCCAACCACAGTCTTGGTCTGTCAGCATCTTCAAATACGGGATGTCCATGAAGTGACTACCAATGGGCGACTTATTTTATCATAGACACTGAAGCTGGGATTTTTAAAATTAATTTTGTTGACTGACAACGTAGCGACCTCGGAATGGTGTCAGATCTTTCCTACTACTTTGGCGAAAAATAATTTCCCACATCTGGTGTTTTACGAATTTTTTATTCATTCGAATGGAAAATGAATTCAAACAATAATTGGAGGAAAATATTGTGGCCCGACCCCATTGCTACAACATCTTGCAGTTATCACGGAATTGATTGAACATTCTGGCATTTTGGGAATTCCAAATCATGAAAAGTAGGAATTTACTAGAGAAATTGCCAACGTCCATGAGAATTCCGCCACTTTCCTGGCACATGACACAAGAGATATTCTCCTTGTCCTTGTCCTTGTCCTTGTCCTTGTCCTTGTCCTTGTCCTTGTCCTTGTCCTTGTCCTTTTAAACAATGCCTTTCCAATAGCCTCAGAGGATAAAAATCACAAGGGGTCAAATCAGGAAGATCGTGGAGGCCATTTGCTCTGACTAAAAACTCGGAATGCTATGCTAATCATTTCTCAACCAGTTTGGAAACAAGGGGTTCAGTGGAATCAGAGGAGGAGAAAAGAAGATGTGGCACTATTCCATGTGTAATAATAAACAGCCTACATAAAAATTGGCTTCCCCAAGATTCAGTATGTAAAAAGTTGTCCACAGGACTTGATGGGTACTCTGTACATTCGTGTTTATGCGTTACTTATAGGATACGGATTCAAGTCATAAATGAGGTGGCTTGAGCGTCACTCTCTCCAGCTAAGAACTGGATTCGTTTAAAACGGATGAAATAATTTTTTTGAGAGAGAAAAAAAAATTCATTCCAATGAGAAATTGAAGCTCTGGACAGTCAACGAATCGAACGAACAAGATGATTTATGAATATTATTAGCCGAGCGGAAATTCTGTCATGCAACAAATAGACATTAGATAATCTGATTAATCCGATAAGACAATTTAAACTCCCAAAATAAACATTGAAGTATTGATCTGTAGCACTTCAAGCATCGTAGCTAATCCGAAACATGCTGCAACCCGTAATCGCACCCTAAGCAACCTAAAGTTGCGATAATGGCCATCGAAACCGGGTACAGCAACAAGGCCGGCTCGAATAGTGGGACGAGTTCCTCTTGGAGCAGGCGACGGACTATGGTTTCGCAGGGTTTGTTGTGGACTTTCGATACCGGGCATTTGAGTGAGGGTTCTTCGCAGCAGGAACTCGGGATGACGGGCCAGTCGGAGTGATTCGCGACTCCGCAGCATTTCAGGGTGCTCTGCATCGCGTTCCAGGCTTGGATGTCTGCGGGGAAGTTCGAGTGGAGGGTTTTCTGCATGGTCCGGTTCAAGGTGGGATGTTTCTCTTCTTGAGTCAGGGTCTGCCACATCGTGACGGCCAGGGTCCACGATGCGAGTTCCAGGACGACGATCCAAGGGGTGACGAAGTAGTTGAGCCACAGAAACACCGAAGCTGCTCCTTTCTCTTTCTTGCACAGGAGAAAGACGCAGCCGATCAAGGGCATCAGAGACATCACAAAGATGGCAATGGCCAAATTGTAGATGTAGATGGTGTATTGCCGGGGCAGGAAGTGCTCATAGGACTCTGCTGTCTGTTTCGTTTGGATTCCATACGCCAGCTGGGATATTGAAATCCCCAACCAGAGTGCGAGAGGCGGAACCGACATCAAAATAAAAATCCACTTCATTCTCAATCCGTTTCCTGCACCACTAAACCGTTTCGAGTCGGAACGCGGATTGTCAGCTTCATCGGCTTGATAAGATATGACTTCTCTTCTCCGTTCGCGTACTGTCCAAATAATTTGCGGATCGAACGTTGTATACCACCCGTTCCTTCACTATCATGCTACGTAGTTCAACAGTCAGTGCTGTGTTCCATCAATTTTTGGGAACAATCGCTTACGGAAATGTCCTATAGTAAACCTACGTGGTATAGTTATTTCTTATAGGAAACCTATAGACTTTCTTATAGGTTTTTGAAACACGAAAAACCTATAGGATCCTATAGGCTCCCTATAAGGTCTTATAGGTCTCCTGACCTATATGATTCGGGGGGGGATGTTTTGGGTTTCGAAACCCAGGCATTACGACGGAAAAGACGACCGGGGTTAATATTGCCGCAGCATGTTGGTGTAAATAAAATACCGATTATGGGTTTTTCCATGGTAGGGACACTTGCATTACTGCACCAGTACTGCGCGGGTATGTATAATTTCTGGCCCTGCCCACTTATGTCGCTGGATTGCACTTCTACTTCCTTAGGTAGAGAGAAGTAGTATTCTTCTATGACCTAAGGAAATAGAAGACAGAACCTGCGAGCACGTCTCGTTACTGAAATTCCATTTGTTTAAAGCCTACTCATTCTCGTACTTGGTTACCAAAAGGAATAAGGGCATATTTCTTGCCTGGACTCCATGATTCAATCTGGAAGATGGGGATGACAAATAAGGAAGTGTTGAAGTTTATTGATTGCTACAATGAGGCAAGGCGAGACATTTGGCGATCTACAAAACTCTCTTGTGAGAGATGATTCCTTGGGTAAGGGGAGGGCACTTTTGCGCCCTTTGAGAAATGTGAGAACCCAATACTTCCATCTAGTGGCCTAGAGGAGAATTTCAAACGGAACCCTACAAGCCTAAATGGTTCCGTATAAGCCCCATAGGGAACCCTATAAGTCCGATAGAGAATCCTATTGGTCCTATAGGGAACCCATCGGGTCCTATAGGTTCCCTATAGGACCCAAACTGAACTCAATGGGGCCTATAGGGACCTATAGGAATTCTATAGGATTCCTATATATTCCTAAAGGAATATATAGGAATCCCATGATACATTTTCGTAAGGGATTCCTTTCTGTCTATCAACTGAATGCTTTTCTCATTTTTATCAAGGAGTTTTTCCATATCCCCCCCCCTCATTCCCAGTGTTCGAAACGCATACATGACTTACTTGTCATTTATTGTATCACTGGATTTAGTCACTCGCACTCTACGTGAGGAAGTTCTGATGGAATTCGCAAGGAAGCATCTTAGAACTCGATTGTCATGGAATCCAGCGTGAAGGGAGCCAAAGTGCCATTTGCAAGTGGAGTCTGCCTGCGCTGACGTGAAGCCGCGCCGTTCTGTCACCTGCCTCCCCACGATGACCTTGGCCTTCCGCAGTCTCCGTGGGGATGCTGCCAGCTGGATCGGGGATTGACGCGTTGCAAGATTCCAGTTTTTAAGCTTTTTTCTGAGCTTCTTCCACAGACATCTTTGGGGAAGACATAGCTACCATGTAATATGCTATCATATGATTGGTTCTTGCATACGGGCCTTTATCCGAAAGGAGTTTCAGTAAAGAGACGTGTTCGCAAGTTCTGTCTGCCGTTTCCTTAGGTCGAGAGAAGAATAATACTTCTCTCTACCGAAGGAAGTGGACGCGCTATCCTGCGCAAACATACAACAGGTGGCCGGAACCAAGAACAGCGATCCAGCCGTTTGGAGAATCGGGATGAGCTCTTCTTGGAGCAGGCGAAGCACTATTGCCTCGCAGGGATTTCCGTAGGCTGACGACTCGGGGCATTTAGGTGGGGATCCTTCGCAGCAGGAACTTGGGATGACGGTCCACTCAGAGTGATTCGTGACTCCGCAGCATTTCAGGGTGCTCTGCATCGCATTCTAGGCTTGAACATCTTCAGTGCTGTTCGAATGGAGGGTCTTCTCCATGGTGATGGTCAGGATGTGATGATTCTCTTCTCGAATCAGTGTCTTCTTCATCGTAATGGATAGGATCCCCGATGAGAATTCCAGGATTACCTTGGTAAAGAGAACCAAAGTGATAAACAATCTTGCCCTTCTTTGATTGCGAAGATAATGGAAGCCGCCAACAACAGAAGAGACAAGACGAAGATGGCGATGGCCATGTTGTGGATGTAGATGGTGTCTTTCTGCTGCAGGAAAAACTCATAGGGCTCGGCTCTGACGTTCGACCGGACCCCATAGGCCAGCTGGGATATCGCTATCGCGAGCAAGAAAGTGAGAGACAGAAGCCATAAAAGCATAAAAGCACGAAACCGATGGCTTCATTCCGAAAATGTTCGCCGCAAGACAGCCCTGATTCAACTAGGCGCACCGATACCGCTGCAAAAAGCTTTATTTGCGTCGATAAGATAAAGATTGTTGAATAAACTTTCTTGTGTCAATCCACCCCAACTATGCCAACGGTCTGTGTCCAATCATGTCAGAAAATGATTAAATTTGCTGGTAGAAGGACAAACCTGATAACTACAAAGATCCATTACCATGCACCTCTCCTTCTCGAGCGGGGGTCAACATTTGTAATTTTGCCATTGCCCAAAACTGTCCAACTAGTTCACAAATGCCTTACATCCTTGTTTTACGTCTAATGAAGTTTCTTTTCAGATTATATCAAAGTTGAAATCAAAGAAAATCCGGCAATTGCTCGCGAAATTTAATCATATTCACATTTTTAGTCTTAAAAGCTAATTTTTAAATGTTAAACATACTTAGCAATTAGGTAGAGGGAATGAGTGGCAATTGGGACATACATTTGCTGGCCCGCTAAATAGTGTAGGTGGAGGGCCACATGCTGTCTTCCCATATTCAATCTGCCACTCCTTTGATGCATTATCAAGAGTCCTGACTACAAGGTGACCATGTTCGGCACACCCTACAAATGTAATTCTGTACCTGTCTGCCTGATTGAGTAAAAGTGTTCTCTAACCAGTTTCCTATTCGTGTTGAGTCATTTATAAACAGATATGAGGAAGGCGTAGAATTAGAATGCATCGATTGCTATATATTTAGAGAATTATTTAATGCTGAAGTTAATATGGCAATATACGTGGGGATATCAATAAATAACTTGACAAGAGCTGCTAAAGATAAATATTTCTTTAATGCCTTTACTTGTTTTGAGGATATAGGCGAGGGGTAGCTCATTTTTCAATACGATCATCAAAACTGTTGAAACATTTATCCTAACGTAACCCCAATGACACTATCCCTGAAATCAAGTGTCCGGAATCATGTTGTCACTGCATGTTGCACCATAGCATCTGTTACAAAACGGCTGCCATAGAGGTTCTTCTTTAGGGAACCTAACATGTAGTAGTCGCTTGATGGTAAGTCGGTACTACGGGGTGAATGATCCAGCACCTCCCATGCGTAGTGCTGTAACCACTCACGGGATCGGTTGGCGGTGAGGGGCCTGGCGTTGTCGTGAAGCAAAATGGTTCACGCAGTGAGCCAGGTCGTTTATGGGGAATGGCATCTCGCAGTTTATCCAGCGTCTGAGATTAGCGTTCAACATTCTGTTTCACAATGGCACAAAACTCCAACAAACACACTTATGGTCCCAACAGAAGGTGCTGGCAATTGCCAGCACCTTCCGGGTGTTTCCATGTCATGAATGCAGCTGTGGTTTTTGGGATGTAATGGTGCACCCTTGTCACGTCTCCCGTCAGAATGGGCTGGAGAAGTCACACACCTACTTTGTGGCAACGAGTTAAATGACGCAGTGGGAGTCGCATTTTTAGTCAGCCGATCTTCTCTGAAGATTCCTTCAACGCGACGAAGATTGCCATCCGTACATGAGGTGCGTGGTCGGTCAGGTCGCATTGTAGTCATTATAGTCAACATTAGTCCGGCCGTTTTTGAACGCATTGTACCACATGTACACTTGCTGCCGTGACCCGACATCAGGGCCTAACGCCTCCACAAGCGGTTGAAGAATTTCAGATTTTTTTTCATTTTGCATTCAGAAATCTAAGAACACTACGCAGCTAGACGTATGTCGACGTGTGGAGTATGCCGGCCATCTTTACACTGTACTATGACGTCACTACCGGCGAGTGGCAAGCTTTGGCGGCAACCGAATGAACCAGATAATGCTCTCCTTCTGTTCAGTGCTTTCAAACTTTCCTCACCTACTCCTTCATGTGTTAGTGCTCTTGCCAAGCTATTTATTGAAACACCCCCGTAAAAGTGTACGGCAATATGCAAGCGTGAAGGGAAAGTGAAAAACAATTCGTTCTCATTTTGTCTCAGTTGGACTTGATTGTATAGAAATGAAGAACAAGCAGGAGTAAAGTGAATGTGAACAACTATTCATTCCATCTATAATTTTTCTCTTAAATAATCAAATTTGAAAAATCTACATGCATTCCGTTAACAGTGAAATTTGATCCTGCTAATTGACAAATGCCAATCCTACATGTGAAACTGTCGTCATGTCCGATGTCTTCTGGCCAGATAAAAATATATTTGTCATCTGCAGATTCACTTGCACTCTAGCGCTTGAACACTCTTCAATCCTTCCTTAATGGACTGAATCACTTGCAGCACGGTTCATGTTCAATCCAGATTAAACGTACCACCACATATAAAACAAATAATGCTATTTCTAACAAAAAGGCAAAATCACGAAACATGTGGAAAATTAATCGGAAATCACCATTTTTGCTACTTGACACCATGAAAAGCTTAAGTTGGTTACGTACGATGTATATTATCAATAGAATCGTAACACAGAGAAGGAGCCTAAAAATGTATTTCGACACTGTGTCTCTTCCTTTTGATTTTGACTTCATAGCATGGGATTCTTACTCATAATTCAGAAGAAAGGAGAAATTGGAAAAAAATTTTTTCATAATTTTCTGCCAAAACAGTGAATATAATGTAATTTGAAATATAATACTGCCGATATTTGACGCAGTCATTCATGAGTCGACAAGGAATCATTAAAAAATTTGTAAGTAATCTGACGACTGCCTCAGACTGTAACAACACACTCCACACAACGCAAACATACAAAACGTGGCCGGAACCAAGAACAGCAATCCAGCCGTTTGAAGAATCGGGATGAGCTCTTCTTGGAGCAGGCGAAGCACTATTGCCTCGCAGGGATCTCCGTAGGCTGATGACTCCGGGCATTGAGGTGGGGATCCTTCGCAGCAGGAACTTGGGATGACGGTCCACTCAGAGTGATTCGTGACTCCGCAGCATTTCAGGGTGCTCTGCATCGCATTCCAGGCTTGAACATCTTCAGTGCTGTTCGAATGGAGGGTCTTCTCCATGGTGATGGTCAGGATGTGATGATTCTCTTCTCGAATCAGTGTCTTCTTCATCGTAATGGACAGGATCCCCGTTGGGAATTCCAGAATTACCATGGTAAAGAGAACCAAATTCATCAGCAATCCTCCCACTTGCCCTTCTTTGATAATGTAGGCCGCCAACCACAGAAGAGACAAGACGAAGATGGCGATGGCCATGTTGTGGATGTAGATGGTGTCTTTCTGCTGCAGGAAATACTCATAGGGCTCGGCTCTGAGATACGAGCGGATTCCGTAGACCAGCTGGGATATCGCTAAGAAAATGAGAGGCAGAAGCCATAAAATGCCCAAAACCGATAGTTTCATTCCGAAAATGTTCGCCGCACGACAGCTCAGATGCAACTAGACGCAACGATCCCGCGGCAAAACGCTTTCTTTGCATCGATTAGATAAAGAATGTTGAATATACTTTCTTGTGTCAATCCACCGCAACTACGCCAACGGTCTGTGCTCAATCATGTCAGAAAATGATAAAATTTATAGGTAGAAGGACAAACCTGATAACTACAAAGATCCATTACCAAGCACCTCTTCTTCTTGAGCGGGGGTCAACATTTGTAATTTTGCCATTGCACAATAATGTGCAACTATTCAATAGTTCACAAAGGCCTTGCATCCTCTCTTTACGTCAAATGAAGTTGTTTTGCAGATCAACTCAAAGTTGAAATAAATGAAAATCATGGAATTGCCAGCGAAATTTAATAATATCCAGATTTTTAGTTTTAAAAGCTTATTTTTAAATGTTAAACACAATTAGCCATTTGATCATGGAGCACCACCTATGGATGGGATTGGATCTGGTTGTCCGCCACTTCTAGTTGTTATTGGGGCGTCTACTGCATGTCCACAAGACGAAATTGACCTTCCAAATCGATGGAGGCTCAGCATTATCATTCAGCTCGTTTCCCATGGACCATGCGCTGGGAAAGTGTCCAACCCCACCACGCATATCCGATTCGACTCTAAAACTTGGAACTCTAGAATGCTCTGTAGAATCGTCTGTGATGCTACGCACTCTTATTCCCAGTGCACTTCTCCTCCTCATCCAACAAGTAACTCGAGGAGAGTGAGCAGGATTTCACTAATACTGTGTCATCCAATGTGTCATCCTTCGTATAAAAAGCATGTGCTCTAAGACTTAGATATTTCCCTGCATTTCGTAACACCACCCGTTGCTCACTTCTGTTCATAATTGTGATATTTCACAATAAAAAAGTTAAAATTGTAGGAAACACTTTAGGTAAAACTGGAACGCTCAATTGCATCGTAAGAGTGCAAGGAATGTGGTTACCATCTAGTGGGATCAGATTCATGTACTGCAACTGCTTTTTCAACTTGTTACCACCAGCGCGAATCCGCCAGTATAAAGCGCGGACTGCCAATTGCCCGCTACTTTTGTGCTACTACGAAACTTTTGTAATTTTTGGAAAATTTTATTCCATAGAGTTCTTATAATGGACCATATGCGACCGGGAGACTTCAGGAGCGAAATTTTGCCGGTGCCGAGAATGTGGCAGCAAGTGGGACATACAGTTATTACCCCGCTCAACAGTGTAGGTGGAGGGCTACAAGCTCTCTTCCCATACCCCAACTGGTCGTGAACGATGTGATGCACAGTACATATTAAGATGCTCAGTTCCTCTACACCGGCACTAAGTTTCACCGGTCGGTCTTCTCTGATGATTCCTTCAACGCGACGAAGATTGTCATCCGTACATGAGGTGCGTGGTCGCTCAGGTCGCTGCTCATCTTAAACGTTAGTCAGGCCGTTTTTAAACGCATTGCACCACACGTACACTTGCTGCCGTGACCCGACATCAGGGCCTAAGGCCTCCACAAGCTGTTAAAAGATTTAAGATCGTTTTGTGCTTTTTGCATTTAGAAATCTATTAACACTATGCAGCTGGACATATGTCCACGGGTGGCGTATGACGGCCATCTTTACGCTGTACTATGACGTCATTACCTTCGAGTGGCACGCTTTGGCGGCAACTGAATGAACCAGATAAGGCTCCCCTTGTGTTCAGTGCTTTCAAACTTACCTCGCCTGCTCCTTCATGTGTTAATGCTCTTGCAAAATTATTTATTGAAACATCCTCGTTGAAGTGCACTGGAATAAGCAAGCGTGAAGGGAAAGTGAAAAAACAATTCGTTCCCATCTTGTCTCAGTTGGTCATGATTAATCAAAGTCGGAGTACAAAAATTGCGCTCATACCGCAAACTGTGATAATTGACCAGCTAAATGACAATTGGCATGTCTTCATGTGAAAATGTTCTCTTGTGCCTAGATGCCTTGGGGCCCGATGAGAAGAAAGTCTCGTCACCTGCTGATTCACTTGCACTTCAGAACTTAAAATGACTTCAACCCTTTATGTAGGGGCAGTATCACTTGCAGCACTGTCCATCTCCATCCAAGATTAATTGTTGATACAAAACCAGGCAAAATATTATCATGAAAGGTAATCTTTGACTCAGTGATTCGGGAATCGACAAAATCATCGAACTCATCACAACTAATCCGACGACCGCTTCAGAGAGTAACAAAACCACCCACACCACACGCTGAAATTAATGGAGTCCGGAACCAAGAACAGCACCCAGCCGTCCGGA